CAATAAAAATCAATATTTTTATTTGAAATATTCAATATAATTTATGTATGAACATTTCATATTTTTTTTCTAAATTACATATTACATTTTTATATGTCAAGTTTAACAATGTTTGATATAAAGGAATATATTTATGTCAATATTTTATAATGTATACAAATGATAGTAATATTAATGGACAAATTATATGTATAATTTTAATGTGATTTAAAAAAATTGAGATATTGAATATTTAAACATAAAACAGCACATAGCAAATAATATCTATAAGATATCTATAGATCTAAAGTGCACAAAATTTTTGAATAATCAAGACAAATTTGAGAGCAATAGGTTTTAATTATTATAATAATACATCTAATAATAATGACAATATGTTGATGTCAATGAACAAAAGTTGATTATAATGATTTTAAGAATATTATCTGATATTTTTATTTTATAATTTAATTCCTATATTTTCACTATAATAATAATATTATTTTTACATAGAATTTTAAAATAATATTATTTACACATATAAATTCAGTTTTATTTTTTAAAAGACCTTGGCTTCTTTAAATTTTTTGTGTCAATAGAAATCTAAAATTTAATAAATGGAAAATTTTACATAATATGCATATGAAAATTGTTATATACATTTATATTATAAATTTTCTATTTATTATTAAAGTACTGAAATTTTTAATAGAAAGATGAACAAATATACATATTTTTGCTAGAATAAATATAAAAATATATGCATATTCTTAATACAAATTTTAATTATTTATATTTGATGTTTTGAGAAATTTATTGTTGAACATTTTTTTTTTCAAAATTATAAATCAAGTTCTTCTAATAACTAGTGAGTTTTAAGAACTTCTTTTAATTTTACGAGTTTACAATTCATAAATTATGCTATATTCATAAATTATGCTTTCATAATATGATATACATTCTTTATGATATACTTTATGATATACATTCTTATGATATTCTTTTCAATTTAATAATTTGTTTTTGTAATTACTCTTATTATTAACATATCTTTTTAATCCAATGTTTCATCTGATATATAGATTTTCATTCATTATAGATTTATGTTCAATAAAATTTGTTTAAAACTTATTATCTATATTTAATACATAAATGTTTACATATTTTTAAAAATTCTAAGATTTTTTATAAATAATAAAATAATAAAATTTGTTAATTTTTAATATTAATTAGTAAAATTTTTAATTTAAAATATTGTTAAATAATTTCAATATTAAATTCCATTTTTATATAGTTAATATAATTAAATAAATATCAATTACATATGTATATATTTAAAAAAAAATAATTTTATAAATAATACTAATATATCATTGCAACAATCAATTAAATTATAAAAAGTTAGTTAGATTTATTTTTATATATTAGAATACTGAATATCCTTTCACATTGATCTTCTCAAGATAAATCTTTTTGATTAACTTCTCTCGACAATATATTATATGCCCGAAATACTACATAATATATTATTTGATTTTAAAAAATGATAATGATACTAATAATAATATAATGATATTTCCAATTTCAAATACGAAGAAATGTTGAATTATATTTAAATTATTTAATTTTACTAAATAATTATATTATTTTATTATATCAATATAAGGGTATAAATATATTCTCGTATTTAATACATAAAGGATGAATTTACTTATGAAGAATTGTTTGAAGTTTTTATATATAATATTTACTGTTCACAAAAAATAATCAAGATTGATTTTATTTTATAAATAAAATTGTTATGCATTAAATCAATTTTCCAATTTTAAATTGTACATAAAATTTTAAATAAAGCACGGAACTATATTGAAAAATTGTGCATAAAAATTGTAATAACAAACCTTAGTAGACGGCCATTTTATAATTTAAGATTTGGTTCTGATTTTAATCATGAACAAAATGAATTCTAGATTATTTTTTTTTAAATTATAATAATTTTATTTAAAAAATTATAATAATTATTATTTATAAATACAAAAAATATAA